TGGTCTGATGTTGGAAAAAACAACAACAAAAAAAAAGCAAAGCGTGTGAGCACAAATTAAAGTACAAATTAAAATTCATAACATTGGCAATATTTTGAGCTAAAAGATGTAGTAGAACATATAATAAAATCTGTACTAATACGAATACTATAAACAATACTATAAGTAAAAGCACCTGGGACAAGCTAATACAAACTTGAGTAAAAGCAGAAACACTCTTGGTTAAATATTACTTCAGTAGAGATAATCAATCAACATTTGAGCATGAGTACTTGCTTCTAAATTACATCAGTATCAGAAGTAAAGGTTATCATAGAAAATGTTAATTCTGATGAACACTTTCTGTTAAGAAAACGTTGCTATAGACACGATCAGTGAACTCTGATGTCTATAGCCACACAGGCATCCACAACATAAATAAATATATCAAACTATATATCGAAACAATATAACTGCAACTGTTAATGTCCATGATCGTATTAAACACAATTCATTATACATAAAACACAAAATTCTTGTTTTACCATTACCTTCCATCTGCATTGACTTTCACAAATAAAAACATGTATAAAATAAAATAAAAATAATCAATAATAGTTTTACACTTCATGATGTCTGATTGACACTGACTTTAAAACCATGAACTTCTGTAGGTAAAATCATAAGTAGAATACTTTTACTTTAACTCAAATCATATTTTATAAAGACAATTTCTGCTTTTACTCAAGTTCAGAGGTTTTGTACTTTGTTCACTCCTGGTGAGAAGCTCCTGTAGCTACAATGTGGTGGATGGGAGGGGTCTAGAAGTAATGGAAAAAGAGATACTGAAACAGGACCTTAAAAATAAAGTAAAATTCATATTTTAAACTTTGGTTGTACAAGATGGGGATCCACTATGGAAGCAGATATATTAGTCATGAAAACCCGAGAGGAATAAAACAAACAAACAAAAAAAAAAAGACAAGTTGAGAAAACACAATCCGCTGTAGGCCGGATCAGAGGCATCCTCACCACTCAGAGTTTCAGTGATTTTAAAATGAAAATGAAAAATTCTGGTGCACATTAAACTACAGGAAAGGAAAAAAAACAAATGGTTCAGTCAAATAAAGTTTTATTACCTAGAAACAAAGCATGGGCACAATCTTTATGTGTAACCCCCCCCACCTTAAGAGTATTTTCCAATTTCAAAGAAAGAAGCCCACTGTCTTACAACGTCGTCTCAGTCCTTAAAAGCTGGCAGACTCTCGTCCACACTGTACTGAAGAATATTAGCTACCAGTTCTGAACAAAGCAGGCCATAGTTCTCTTATTTATTTATTTATTTTTCCATTAAATCACCTTAAATCTCAATGTTTTCATTTCACAATTTGAGGTGGCACAGAAATATGAAAAAATTCTTCATGCTGTAAAAAATGACTCGTCAGTTCAAGCAAAAAAAATACTTCATGTGGTAACAAGTAAATTAACTAATTTTATTCAAGCTAAATAAATAATTTGAATGAACAATTCTTTCAATCAACTTTTTGAGCTGAGTAAAACTAAATCAAATGCTTGCTACCACATGACGTAATTGTTTTAGGTTGAACTGACAAACCATTTTTTACAGTGTATTAGTGATGCAATATGTTTATTTTAAATGTTAAGAAACAGAAATACAATCTGTGCTACAGATAGGAGAACTGTTCAGTACTAAGAAAAACAAACCAGCAACATGCTACAGAAAGAAATGTAAACAAAGCTGCTTCCATACCTGAGAAATGCTGGGGGTAGATGTAGGAGATGTGGAGGTCATTACAAGACCAGTACCAATTTGGTTAAGCCTTAAAGCAATGACATGAATAGAAGAGAAAACAAAGATTTCACAAACATTAGTCTGATACAGGATTTTAAGTCACTTAGCATCTGAATCACGACTCAGATAAAATAATAACTTACTGTTTTCACTGTAACTGCAGCTCCAGTCACTCCCTCAGATTTCTGTTTTTATCTTCTAAACTCATCTGAGTGAAGCTGGTCTGTGGTGCGTTGAGCCATTAGCCTGCTGGTGAGCAAGCTAACAACCCCACACATCACAGAAGCTGGTTAGTTTCTCCTTTTCTGTCACTCCAACACCAGACACTCGACCTCTCTTGCTCCGATTTGAGCCTTTATTTGTCGTGGGTAAGGATAAGTTAGCCGGAACTAAGCCGGTCTTCCAGCAGAGCTATTGACTTAGCCTGCTAACGTTAGCTAAGCTTGCATAAACACGCTAGTTAGCTAGCTAGCTAGCTAACAACTCTAACAAGTGTACACACCAGTTTATTAGACATGGAATATAAATTCGACACTTCGAAATTCATTAAAAAATTACTTCTCTCTTATTACTTGTTAAATGTACTCATCTAAAAGAGGTGACTCACTAGGCTACCACAGCAGATAATGGGGATCTAGTTAACCGAGCTAACTGACTGTTAGCAAACAACGCTCATGTTTGTTTTAACATAATAAAGAATTCAACATTAACAAATTATAGTATTAGGTTTGAGTAAATGTCTGACTGAAAAACTGGTGGTACATCAAATAAACCAAGCATTTACTTACCAGACGTGTTTTGAAGCCTTCTTAAGTTTCCAGAAGCTGCTCTAAGCGCGCGCTTCCCGCGGTGGAGCGTTGATGACGGCTCGGACCTCAGTACGGGTAGAATCTGCCTCAGTACGGGTAATATCTACCTCAGTGGGGTAGAATTTCCCGTCTATTTTTTCCCTAAACATAAGTTGCCGAGTCTCACCCGTACCCGTCCCGATCCCGGTGTGCCAAAACTCTTAGCCGAGTCTGCCGCACAGCAAACGAGCCGACTCTTCATGTTAGCTGGGTTATTAGCCCGTTAGCATTAGCATGGTAGCTAGCGCCATCTATCTAACAGCCAACCTGCTGTAGGAATATAATGTTGTAGCTACTTACTCCAGATACAGAAAATGTACAATATAAACCGACTAGAGTCTGCCAGTGGCTGTTTTTTGTTAGCTTAAGTGTTAACTTTTGCAGCAAAAATTATTTCTATGTGTAATTTTGTACACTGGGTTTAATATACTCTGTTGCATAAGTTAGCACCATGTTTATAGAGAATCAGTTGTATGCTACTAAATCAGCTCAAGCTTGTTGCAGGCCTTGTATTTGGAATGAGTATATATTTACAAAAAACAATTAAGTTCATAATTTGAAACATAAAATATTGTTTTTTTTCCTACTATTTTTACTTTAATACAGGTCAGACAGAATAGACTAATCATACTGTTCCAATGTTTTTGGAAGTGGGTTTGTGCATGAGATACTCAGCTCATACTCACTAATTTCAGTTTTTAAATTCACAAGATAAAGGGGTGTTCTCTGTGTATGTGTAGCCTATTTGTGAATAATGGACAAAGTTGACTTTTTAATAGTAAAATTTTAACTAAAGCTTCATAATGTTTATCTGTGCAATTGAATATCTATTGAACTTTTGTTGTTTTAGAAAATCTGCCCACTAAATAGGCAACCAGAACATGTGAAGTACCATAGAAGGCTGTCATATACCCTACTTAAAGCCATTGATGTACTTCTCCCAGCTCCTGGAGAGTCCACTGTATGCAACTGCACCATGATTTTTCTGACCTTACACACTTGACTCAACTTTTCAAATACATTTTACCCCTTCATGAGTTGAAACTAGAACATGAGTACTTATGCTTATGAGGCTTGAAAGACTGGAAGTTGGATATTAACTGTAGTTATACTTTTTATTTTTTAGTGAAAGGAAAAAAGCCTTTTCACATATCTCTTGGATTAGTCTAACAACTGCAGTGTTAAACTATTAACAAATAGTTTAACACTGAATATAAACAGCAAATCTCTGACAATTTCAGAATGACGTTCCATTGTTTTTTTCACAAATTTTGCTATTTTTCATACATCCACAGCAGCCATGGCTATATCTCAAATATAGATAAATTTAAACACTGGTAGGCCTAATAGACATTTTAATGTATACTGAAAGACAGGATTAATAATAAGTTACATTTATATAGCGCCTTTCACAATCCCAAGGTCGCATCACATAGCATAGGGGATGAAACAAGACTAAGCAATGAAGTAGGAAGAAAAATGCTCATGAAAGAGAAACATCTTTAAGTCAGATTTGAAGATAAAGAAAGAAGAGCAGTCCTGGACGGATTGAGGAAGAGAGTTCGAGAGGTTGGGGGCCCTGGCACTGAAGGAGCTCCATCCCAACGTGGAAAGCCTGGTGCGTGGGACAGCAAGTAAGTTATTACAAGAAGACCTGAGAGAGCGAAAGGGAGTGTAAGAGATCAGGAGTTCTCTGAGGTAGGGGGGAGCAAGGTTATGCAGGGCTTTGAAAGTGAGCAGTAAATTTTTAAACTTTATACAGAGACTTTACAGGAAGACCAACAAAGAGAGAGTTACAGTAATCAATACGGGACATAATAAAGGCATGAACCAAGGTTTGTGCATTGTTATCCATCAGGAACGGGCAAAGACGAGCAATGTTACGTAAGTGAAAGAATGCAGTCTTTGTGAGGAACTTGATATGTAGATTAAAATTAAGTGATGGTCGAGTAAAACACCAAGATTTCTAACAACAGATGAAGGCTTAACAAGCTGACCATCAATACTTAGAGAAATTGATGGCCTGGAATGGAAAGGGGAGAGTTTTGTTTTTTTCATCTCATGGGACAGCACCACCTTGCAGTGCCCTTAAATTGAGCCCTGACTCTAGTGGAGTATAGCACTTCAGAAACTTCCATATTTAAATATGAAATGAGAATGCACTGGTTACAGGCAACAGCAATGCTGTGTTGTACTCCAAATCAAACTTTATTTTGTGTGAAACATTGATGCAATAGCAAAAGTGTATTTGGCAACAAAGTATTACTACTTAAAGAGACACTCCAGCCAAAATAAAAAAAACCACACATTTTTGAGATTATAGTGGTGCCACAATAGTCTCAAAAATAAGATTTCTCAGTTTTAAGACTAGGAACCCTCCGTCTGCTCTTCTGGATGAGGTTTCTTGAAGGTTGTATTAAGTATTGGCATAATGCATGCTGGGTTTTATCATTGAGAAAACATTAATGTATGAAAACAGAAAGGACCGATAAGGCTAAGGTATGTAATAATGATTATTGCCACTTAAGTCAAATAGGACGTTGCAAAGCTTTAGCAGGTAAATGTGGAACTTGTATGCTTTATAAGAAAGACTATGTATAAACATAAGCATTAACAGTAACATCGCTGTGTTTTTCTCTTATTCCTCCTTTGTAGATCCAATCTGTTATGTGGTTTGTATCCACCACGATGGTTCTGGTGATGATTCTACAGAGTCTAAGGCAAGAACACACACAGGTAATAGTGCTAAACATTTTGACAGAAACACTCACTGTCAGTATATTAACATATTCCATTCAATTAACGGACATACAGACAGACGACAACGACTTGGCAAAGATTCTAGTCTCTGGAACTGTACTAGAGGGATAAAACTCTATTAAATAAATAAAACATATAGAAGTTAAAGAGATAAAACATATTTCCTCAATTGGTGTTTTGATGATATTGATAGAGAGCACTGTATAACACGTTGGTCCAAAATTTCACATAGGTGTTCCACTTGGCTGAGTCTGCAAAGGCCCTAGCATATGATTTACATCATTTTTATACTAATCAAACTATTCAATGACCACTCTTGCCCTGTGAACAGGGGCACTGTCATCCAAGAGGAGACCACTCCCATCAAGATAGAAATGTCTTAAGATAACAGTGGTCAGAAACATTTTGTATTGAGTTACACTTGTCCCCCCCTCCCCTCCTCCGGTATCTTGGTGTTCGCCACACTTGCACTGGCTCATTTGTGGAGAATATGGTGAAGGATGACTTATCTGACCTTATCACCTTTCATTCCACAGAGTATAACTGCTTAATTTTACCATGCATTATATCTGTATAGAAGCACCTACACTTATTATGTTTCTCCACTCATTTATTCAGGATTTTCCTTTAATTTGTCATTCGTCTGTCTGCAGATACTTTGATGTGGAGTTCAGTATAATTCAGTGCAGTAGTGGGTGGTATGGCCAAAAATGTATATCACAGTTCTCAGTATATATCATGGTAAACATATATTTTCAAATACACTTTAGATAATTATGTAAACTTATTTTTGTAGGTCAACACTAAATTTTTATTCCAGGAAGTCCCTTCACTTTTTAATAAGAAACATTTCTAACACACACATTTTCTAAAACTCTTATCATTCTGGTCACAGGAGCCTATCCTAGCAGAGAACCAAATCCAGGCCTTTCTTGCTGTGAGGCAACAGTGCCATTTGCATTGCTTTGGATGTTTCATTTAAACTGAAACATCCATGACAAACAGGCTAACATTAGCGACACCTGCAATTGTTTGTACATTGCATTATCTGTGCATATTTGTATACCGGTATAACAGTTATGGCAGAACTGAACAGATGTGAACTGATATACTGCCCACTACTAACTCCGTGTAACACTGAAACTCTGACCAACACTGAGAACTGATGAAGCATTAAGTGCAAGTGAAATCACTTACTGGAGTCAGAAGAGGTTGCTCTGAAGATCTACACCTGAGTCCTAGCACAATGAAGACTGCTCTCAGTCTAACAGCAAGAAAGAACAAGGTTAGAGGAAAATAGATTAAAAACTCTCATTCATTTTGCAGTTACATTTTCATTTGTTCATGTTTATAATTCTCTTTGGGCCTGAGTGACCAGGTAAATGTTTTAAGTGAGGATCTTACTGTTAGTTCTCCATACACATCATCTGAGGTCTTGGTCTTCAGATTAAGAGCTGTGTATATGTCTTCAACATTCTATTTGAAGAAGAAAAGAAGAGTGTGTCAGCACCATGCACTGCTGCCTCTCTCTGCAACTATATAGCTAACAGCACCGCATTATTCTGCACTCTACCTGGAGGCCAAGATGAATCATGACGCACACTAACAGATCACATACCTCATAAACATCTTCAATTGCTGTCTCCTTCTGCTTCTTCCTCCTGCGTTCACCATTACTGTTATCATTTCCACTTGTTGTCTGATTCTTCCTCCTGCTTTCAAGTAATAAATGACAACAGCTCTACGGTGCATATTAACACGCTCAATTATTATCATAGCAAACAATGAATATGCAAATATTATTTCTGTTCCACACAATGATCATCTTAAGTTGCTTTAAAAATGCTTTTTAAGCATCTTGTTAATATTTTTAAAATGCTCTTTGAAAGATTGATTCGGCCCAAAAAATTAATCTGCATAATTTTCCATTTACCCCAGAAGTAGTTATCTAGCCAAGACGTTTGATTCTTTAGTTTAACACTGGAACTATAAGGCTAACATTGCTAATAAACAGTAGAAGTCAATAGTCACCCAAATCGTTTCTGTAAATTCTGTATATGTTTTCTGATTTTTTGTTAATGCATCTCCAAAACTCAACCTAGTCTAACATACATTAAGGTTGATTCATCAGTGTGGTTTAGAACATAGTATGGCTTACTATGAACTATGAAAATGCTGAAAATACTGTGACATGCATGCATATGAAGGGGATTTTTTTCCACACAATTCCACACAACACATACTGACTAAAATATGTGAATTCAGCTACAGTGAAGTTCAGTTTTAGTCATACTGTCCTCTAAACCACATCGACCATTCAAAGCAACCTTAATGATTACATGGATGTGGTTTGAGCTGGTTGAGGGAAATTTTGGGGATGTATTTTTTTTTTTAAAGAAGTTTGGGTAACTATTGACTTCTAGTGTTCGTTACATTAGCCTCATCGATCCAGAGCAAAACTACAGCAGCACAATGTAAAACTTTATCTTCGCTGATTGACTACATCTGGTGTAAGAGGAAAAAAGTTGTGCTTTTTGCTTATGTAACCACTATAGGTTTCCTAGGCATTACAGGATTATAGCTAGTGGACTAAACTACTTAGGCTTAGGCCTAATTGGATTTTAAAAATTGTCCCTAAATGTTGGATAGCTGATTGCAGAGTTAGACTGTAACTGTGAGAATGTCTTAAACATTAAATAGAAACACATCACCTTATCCACATAACGGTGAAGAGAATGGCTGCAATGAACCCTCCACAGAATCCACCGATGCCAGCACCTGCTTTAGAACACTCCTCTGAGAGGAATATGACAGGATTAAAATAATAAAATGAAGGTCCTTTAAACCAGAAAACAACCAAGTGATTGAGTAGCCAATGCTGCTCACCTGTACATGTGACTGGTACAGGATATGCATAGTCATGGCCAATTCTGTTTCTAGTCTTACAGTAGAATGGCGCACTGTCCTCTTTAGTGATACTTGCGAAGCTGTAAGTCTGCCCATACGCCACAGGTTCACTTTCACCTTTTTTATACCAGACGTAGTCCATCACAGGTGGGTTAGCATCAGTGTTGCATTTCAGGGTCACTGACACTGACATCTTTTGCGGAGAGTCTAGAAGTACAACAGATCATTTTGAGCTGCTGGTCCTACATCTCAGTCAGAGTTAAAGGGAACTCTCATGTGCACAGTGTACATAATAGTTTGTGTTACAGCAGATATAAATGGCCCTTTACTTACATAAAATATCAAGTGGTGTGTACTCTGAGAATGCAGATCCGTGCTGGTTGGATGCCCTGCACTTGTATTTGTAACTGTCGTCACTGCTGATATGTGTGATGCTGTAACTCTGACCGTTCCCTATTTGTAAATCTTCAGTTCCTGATCTCTTAAACCAGGTGTAGTTCTCCACAGGTGGGTTTGCTTCACTGCTGCAGGTCAGAGCCACTGAACCTCCCTCAGGTATTTCAGATGGTCTGCTAGACACCAAGACCTTCTTTGGGCTATCTGAAAAAAAAAAAAAAACTGCAATCACAACACACTGATTGTTGTCCATTTGTCAGTCCACATTTCCATGACCTTAAGATAGATAACATGCAAATGTCTGTGTTCCATCCCTCCAGACGCTTGTAGAATCTATGCCCAGTCACACTAAAACTATTCTGGCAGCTCACGGTGATCTGATACACCTTATGCTGCATTTTCCTTTAATATGTGAGGGCACAATTACAAATTGTAGACCATATGTTGTCATGCACAATTTTTCTGCCTCCCTTTATGCAATTCATCATCACTGGTCAGTTTCTGACCACAGGACAACTGTTGTACAGATATTATTTGAGTGTTCAGCACAGCTGTGACAATGACATAGTAGTGGCATGATAGTGTGTGGGATGTTGGTACAAGTGCATCCTTGACCACTGTCAGGGTTACTGTCATAGGACTTCTTTGGGAACAGTGTACAGTGTACAGTGTACATAAAATATTCTGTTCCAGTAGACGTGGTGGCTCCGTTACTTACATAAAATATCCAGTGGCGTGTACTCTGAGAACGCAGATCCATGCTGGTTGGATGCCCTGCACTTGTATTTGTAACTGTCTTCAATGCTGATATTTTTTATGCTGTAACTCTGACCGGTCCATACTTGTAAATCTTCAGTTCCACATCTCTTAAACCAGGTGTAGCTCTCCACAGGTGGGTTTGCGTCACTGCTGCAGGTCAGAGTCACTGAACCACCTTCAGGTATTCCATCAGATGGACTGCTAGAAACCAAGACCGTCTTTGGGCTATCTGAAAAAAATAAAATAATTAATAAATAAAATAAAACTACAATTTTTACAGTGTTTCATTTACCATAGAGTACCATGGAACTAACTACCCAGAAATCTCAATTAACTGCCCAGTAATCTCAAAAATAATTATTCTTTTCCTCAGCAAATAGAAAGGTGTTGCAACAACAACACACTCTTTGTTGTCCATTTGTCGGTCCACAATTCCATGACCTCACGTTGAATATCATACAAATGTGTTTACTGACCATCACATCTAGTAGAGTTAGGTCCAAATGGTCATTATGCAGCAAATTCAAACAATTTGATAAAAGATGAATAGACGTATACACTACCTCTTCACTTTATTAAAGACATGGCCTTGCACTTCCACTCACTGAGCAGTTTCTCAGATTCACCTACTTTATAGGTATTATGTATACAGACAGGTAACAAATTAAAGGAAAAGCCTAATTAAATGAGTTAAGTAACGTAACGGGTGCAGATGCTTCCAGACAGATACTACAGACACCAAGACCACTTTGGGCTATCTGCTGCTGTTCTACCTTGCTAACAATATTGTTAGTTGCAAATGTGTTTATTGTCTAATACTACGCATGCCACTCAGAATCAACATTCACAGGAGTTTTCATTCACAGAATTGTAATCGGCATTGTAATAAATGCTGCATACTCAAAGAGTATTCTGAGGTAGGAAGGCACCCAGTCATGTCCAAATCAAGTGTTTGAAAAAACCACTGCCTACAGAGGTTCCACAATTTGGCTGTTATTTGAAAACAGCATAGATGTATCCTTTGCTGCCTTACATATCCAATAATCCTTGGTGTTAGTGCCAATGTGGTTAGGAAAAAAAGTAGAAAATACCAGCACTGAGAGGCTGACAACTTAATTTCTTAACTAGAACTAGGCTGATTAGCTAGCTAACAGAAAGAGTTTGGATGGTATGGAAAACGCAAATAAAAAGGAAAACAGTGATTTCTAAGATTTACTTTGACGTGTATTTCAGTGCAGACAGTATGAACATAAGATATTTCATGTTTTGTCTGATGAACTTCATTTAATTTGTAAATATACATACATTCCTGCCACACAGGCCTGCAACACACTCCAAAAAGAGCATCATCCAGGAAAGGCCTAGTTCTTTAGGAGTGAAGATGAGCAGAGGATTGCCAGTTTGTTAGAGGTACTCTCATTGATTTTAGACAATCTTTGTTATACTTTGGGTATTCAAAGTTGTAAACTGACTCTCGTTACATCCCTCTCCTGAATACTGTAAAAATTGGGTCAAAAGTCACTGACATTGCGGATTTGGACAAGACTAAAGCCAAATTATGGCATCCTGTAATGATAAAGACTGGACAAACCACTAATGCAGAAAGTTTTGAACACTGATCTAATACAAAACACCAAACATAAATAACCAATCATAAGAAACATAAACAAAGTCAAGCAACAGGCCTAGTAAATAAAACAATAGGCCATGGCAAAATTACAATAGGTATAAATTCTTAGTGTGACTTACTGTTTCGAATGTCTGCAACAGTAGGAGTCCTGCAGAGACAAGGACAGTACATAAGTAAGTGGAGAAATAAATACCCTGGTTACTGATACATGGTTCTAAATTACTTTATGTATGTTGACCTCTTTTGACCTCTCTGTTTCTTTGAATTGACAAAAAAGGTCCATAAGTGAGAATTTCATAGCAGGCAAATTTTGTGTGGCTATAATCATTAAAGTTTTAAATCGTTAAAGCTACCATCTGTGAGATATATATTGTGAGCTACATAATAAAAGCACAAAAGCATAAAATAAATGAAAATACTGCTCCCTGACATATTTACATAATTTAATATCGAAGAACGAATAGTATGGTGACCAAATTTCTGAAATAAAAACCAGTATTTTGACTATGGTATGATGAAGGCTAACTGATAAAATTGGGTACTAACTAAGTAACTTCATAAACCATGTCAGAAAATTGGACATTAGCCTACCATGGTGAGTGGAGCTATGGAAAACTACGGAACAGTTAATTTCCAGTTTTTGATTCACAGTTAAAAACAAGGACCTTTCTGGGGACAAGCCACCAAAAAATGGGGACTGTCCCTGGAAACCTGGTACATCTGGTCACCCTAACAAATAGATGACATAGTGACTGTATAACGCGGTGGGGTGGGATAACTGGGATGTATTTAACCATGTATCAGCCGTATGTATGATCCACATATTGTACAGATAATATTATTTACGATTTCCAGAAACTTACATGCTGTTTTCCATTGTGTTGTATTCCATCATGAGCTGAGCTGTTTAAGTGGTCATGTTGGAGAAGACAAGAAAGAAGTTAGCTTACTTAGAACTCACTCTAACCAGTGAAAACACACCAGCGACCAAATAAATCCTCTTGGCTTGATATGTCTATTGATATGCTTATGTTTATGTATATGAAAAAGATGAATGCATTGTTTTTTTAATTGATGTTGTTTCAGTAGAGACTCACCCAGCATCATGAGCAGAAAAATCAGAGAAAGAGAATGAACCATCATCACTGTGGCTGCGGCCTATATCTTTGTAGGGCACAAAGCAAAATACGACTTCAAATGTCAGTCATTAAATTTGTTGTGGATTAATATATACAAATATCTTACTGTTCAGCAGGATGCTGATTGGCTGCTGAGTTTGCTCTGGCTTCATGATAGTCTATATCAGCAGTGCTATTGACGATAATGCCAACAATAAAAAAATATATAAATTTTACTATTTACATTTTCAAAGTTAGGTCCAATCTATGACTAATAACTTAAAGAGGACAGCAGTTAACTTAATATTGTCATACCTCTTTGAGCAGACAGCTAAAGAAAAAGAATAATTAGCTTAATAAGTTAATAATTCATCTTTTCTAAGTTAAGGAAGTAAAATAATTTAGGATTAAGTTAAGGATAGTCACATACAACATATATGCAAGTCTGACTAGGCTTTCCTCAGCAACCACTGGAAAAAATACTGAAGCAACAGAACAGTAAGGGACATTTTATAACATATGTATAACTAATTAGCTTAAAATCCTAGAAATATATTCACACATAGCTCTGAACTACATGTAGTGAGCTAGCATGTTAAAATGTTAAACCATTAAATGATGCTATGTTAGCCTGAAGAGCTAACGTTAATCTACACATTTATTATTACATCATTTATTTTTGGCTATTGTTTATTATAGCTCAAAATGATGGGCGGGCTTAAACAAAGTGGCACTTTTTTCCTGTGAAATAAAAAAATAAATAAATAAAGCAAAAAACATTTTTTTTTTAATTCAGGAACCAATCAAAAAAAGCTGTGCTCCCTGTAGTTTTTAGTTTGGGTTTAGTTGGGTTCTTAAATGTTGAGTTTAACTGCTTACACTCTAAAAAATGCTGGGCTGAAAACAACAACCTGGGTTAACTGGCAACCCAGTGCTGCAGTATAATAAGTATTATTTAAATATTATTAAAGTATTTAAAAAAAAAAAGTATTTTAACCATTATGATGGATTGTGACAATTACTCGACCTAACGTGGATGTTGGGTTGTTTTATTTTCAGCTGATCTATGTATAATAATGATGGTGGTCTTAATGATGATGATGATAATACAAATTCTCTTTAACATATGATTTTATTAGTTACACTTTAAAAATGCTGGGTTATTTCTCTCTCTCACCCCATTTCCCAGCAATTGCTTTAGTGGTGTGAACCAGTTGTTTTGGCCAGCAAAAGGATTATCACACCCGTTGCCGCTAGCTACCTTTCTGGTTGGCCGGTTTAAAAGTCTGAAAACATGCCATCCACGGCTTTAAGATGTACAAAAGCAATTACATTTGTTTTACAATCTATTTTCTTTGAACAAGTTTTCTTTTACTGTGCAACATTAATCCATGTCCTGATAAGATATCTGGCTTTATCGCAGCACAAACTATATTGTTTTGTTTTTTACTATATACACGAGAAAGCTGTGCAGCAGCCTTCCACACACGGACCACCTTGCCTTATAAAGCTTGAATTGGGGACATAAAAGATTTTTATGTTAGGATTACATCAGTTATTAAAAACAAAAAAGACAACAAATATAAAGTATTCAAGTATACAAGTATTTGTATTCAAGTTACATTTTGTTAAGACAGTATTCAGAATACAGTTACCTTTTGAGCTCCTCTAAGCAGCTGCCTAGCATGGCTGCTGTGGTTGGACAAAGTTTGAGGCGTATTTATAAAGCTTTGAAATTTGCACGACCTGGCCTTTCCTAAGAATGATTGAAGGTCTGACCTTGGTAAAAGTTATCTTAGAGCTCAAATTTCTTGGGGTGCCCAAACTTTTGCATGATTCTCCTTTCCTTTTTTCCACTCTAAATTTGTACCAAGCAAAAATAATACACTAAACTTTTTTATAATATTAAAATAATGTTTAATTCTACTCACGTAACTATTCACAGTAACAGAAATTTTAACCAGTCTCCAAACTTTTGCATGCCATTTATTTTTCTGTTCTATCTATACATAGTATATTTATTTTCTTTGTAATGTTTACAACATTCCCTCAGATTCCCTCATTTGTTCTAATGTAAGTACTGTAAGTAACCAGTATCTGTATCTGTTCTTTAACAAGTGAAAAGTGTAGTGTTTTAAACTAAAATGAAGTCTCTTACCTTAGTAAGACAAGTCTGCAACACCTACATACCAAATCATGAGTTCCTGGAAGTACTATGCTGTGCATGCATGTGGCTAACACCTTTATTTCTTGTGTTGATCAGTATTATGGAGTCGTTGTACCATAATAGAACAGTGCATGTCACATTAGGACAGCCGTTTCATTATTAAAACTGTGTTCATTTCTAAGAACATTTTCAAACGATAATTACAACTACAGACTGTAGTCCATCTGTTTCTCTGCACACTGTCTTAGCCCCATTTTCCCTGTTCTTCAGTGATCAGGATGGAGCAAGTGGATCATTCTCAGCACTGCAGTGACACTGACGCAGTGGTGGCATGTTAGTGTGTGTTGCACTGGTACGAGTGGATCAGACACAGCAGTTATTAAAAAGTTTTTAGGGCTGAAGTCATTATAGACAGTACCTACTCACACCCCTGAACTCAACTGTTTTTTCCACACTAACAGGGCAATACATGAAAATGCTTTCTTTTTAAACTGTGTGGATAAGAGCAGTGCATTCAGAATCAGCCAGGTATCAACTCATTTTTTTATTTATTAGCATTTTTTATTTGTTATTATTGTACAGAGTAATGAAATGTTGGGTGGTAGCTGTTTTAATAATGCTTTATAAATGCAACCAATAAGTGGCACGTTCTTCCTATGTATAGATACAGTTGAATACAGTTGAATACAGTTGAATTCAATACTGACTCATCCATATCTCCAACGTCAACTTTCCTCATGTAGCAGCACCATATTCTTATGTGTTTTGTGTTGTTGAATCCAGTCTTTGTAATCACCATTTTCCATATCGCACACTGAACATGCACTTTACAAGAATTCTGACTAAACTATGTGGGACTCTGATATTTAGTGTACGTCACTAGCTAAAACTGTTCAGGCTAAAATGAACAGTGTGATTTACACACTAATTGATCCCACGAATAAAAGAACATGAGGTTATGTGAAATACTTGAGGTCATTGGTCATTAGGCTACTATTAGAGTTTGTGTTTTACATCATGAAATGATTACAGAAAATCATGATACTATTTTTCCATTACTTTTAAACATGTTTTTTGATATTATTTTTCAGTTCTAGATTTTATTTTCTATGTATTTTTACTTTTTAGTTTCACTTTCTAGGTTTTCTAGGACCTGTATAAGCCCTGCAATGGCAGTGACACAGACCCAAAGCACAATAGATCCACCACCATGCTTGACAGTTTGCAAGGTTTTCTTTTCATCAAATGCTGCTCCTTTTTTAGGTAACGTTTCCTTCTGATGACTCCTCCATGCTGATCATACTGCTGTCATATGGGTTTTTTTCCCAGATGCTGCATTGATGTCCAAAGTTCAACTTAACTGCCAGGTCTTCAGCCAACTGCTGAGACAAGCCCATGTTCATGGAGTGTGAGCACAAAGTTTGAACACTCAGAGGATTTATTTCTTATTCATCAGCTAACAATTACTAATGACATTTCTTGACCTGTGTAACATGTCCTAATGAGTCAATTAAGGCCTAATGAGTAAATTAAGTACTGAGACTTTCCAACTTGAAGGGTGTCTAACTAATCACATTTTAATCTAATTTTTAGTTTTTTTATTGACTCATTGCAGCGTGTCCTAAAAGACAGCTTGTCATCGATCCAAATTCCCAAATATCTGAAGCTTGAAATAACTATTCTTTAAATTACTTACTGTTACATTATTAGAACAGTCAATTCCATTGGATCTGGAAAACACTAGCTTTTTAAAGTAAATTTTCTATAGCTACTGTTACAGAGGAAGCACAAAAAAAGTATAAGCAAATAACATCCTATGACCTGTCTTATGTTGTTTGTTTAATGATATCATGTATTTTTTTCTGAATTGTAAGTGAAATATGCAAAACAATCTGGAAATCTTTTGGATGTTTTATCTAAAATGAAATATAAAATAATGCCTGAAACATTGGGACGATTTTCAAAGTTGTAAGAAACATGAAATTTATGTCCAGTTATGTCCAAGCCTGGAGGGATCAATGAGATTGGACTTTCACCCTGAACTCCTCTCATCCAGAAGGAGAACTAATCAGTACTGAGGACCACACGTGACAGAAATTTGGACACTTCCTATGCGTAAAGTCGCAGCACCTCAAGTTTCTCTTTCAGTTGCAAACTTGGGGGTCTTCTGATTTCCAATTATCAACTTCCAGTCAGGCACTTACTCATCAACTCACCCACCTCAACTGGCTCGTCTCAATGTGGAAGAATAGCGGCTCTACTCTGAGCTCCTCCCGGATGACCGAGCTCCTCACCCTATCAAGTAGAGTGTAGCCGGCCACCCTGTGAAGAAAGCTCATTTCCACCATTTGTATTTGCGATCTCATTCTTTCAGTCATTACCCACGGCTCATGACCATAGGTGAGGGTTGGGATGTAGACCAACCAGTAAACAGAAACCTTTGCTTTATGACTCAGCTCCTTCTTCACCACTACAGTATGGCACAGTGACCGCATTACTGCTGCCGCCTGTCCCAGCCTGCTACAATCTCATGATCCCTCTTCTAATCACTTGTGAACAACTCCTCAACCTGGGGCAGGTCCTTTCCCCTTACCTGGAGTGGACATGCCATTCCTTTCCGGGTTTTGAAGAGAGCTGAACAAAATATCATGGGAACAAACAACATGATTAATTCTTAATGACTGTGCAATAGTCTATTATTTGCACAGTTGTAACAGTTGTATTTGCATTTTGATATTAGGGAGGGTAGTCAATACGTATTCAACAGCTATCTAATTTTTACATCTGTGTTGTCAGTCTCTATGTCGCCTCCGGCTTTGTGGTCTGAGGCTGTCCAAGGCCCGGGAAGTCCAAGATAAATATAATAATCTCATCACACAAGTTCACACAAGTTCTTATAACTAATTGCACCAAATTCAAGTAGTAATATTTCTAAATCATTAGAAAATAATTACTTTTTTGTTATTATTATTATTTCTTACTAATAGACTGTTTTGTTATTATTATTATTGCTTACTAATAGACTGTTTTGTTATTATTATTATTGCTTACTAATAGACTGTTTTCTGTGTGTTCCCTCTTGTAAGTGCTGTTTTTTTTTCTGTCCTCGTGCACTGATTCTTAGCTTTCTCACAGCTGATCAACAACATCAATTCAACAAGCTCAGTGGGCAAAAACAACACTTATGACAGCCGACTACAGCCAACAGTGCTGCACAAACTACAGGTGAAAACTAACTACCATCCAGGGGCCTACAATGTGCATGTCAGTTGTCACAGCATGTTTAAACTAACCCTACTGTTTCCACCTGGAAAAACATGATATTTCTCCAGAAGAGTAATGAGAGGTAATGAGTCATGAGAAGCCATGAAGTAAAGAGTTGTTAGGTACAGTGAAATACAGAAACAATTCTTTCTCTAAGCAGCTGCTGTTTTGCTAAGGGCCTCAGGTAGCTAGCAAACCCAAACCCAAGTATGTACTAAAATGGGTTTCTACATTTATGAGAAGTTTATTAGGCTGCATAAAAAGCAGTTGAACTGGCTTGTTTAAGTGCTGAAGTTGTCCCTGCAGAACTGCTGGTATCATTTCCTGTGTTTTTGTGGTTAGGCCACACTCTCCGCGCAAACATGGAACACTGAATATAGAATCTGTTAGTGAGCTTTAGGTTTTTTTTCAAAGCAACTTTCATCAGCCTCCATAATTAACAGCTACTATGACAACTTCTCTGAACACTGAACTGCCAAGAATCCACAATGCACAAAGAACTGATACATTGACACACTGATGATACTGAAAGAACCAAAAAAATGTAAGCTTTTAAAGACAGCATATTTTGGGAAGGTCTAAAATAAATGGTTTGGGTAAGGTCCACTTTTGCAGTGCAGCTCCCAAATGTTGCATTATGTCTACATACTAATGAAAGCACATTTCTTAATTATACCAGCAACAGAAAGCATATTTAAGTTATAATAATAAAATAGTGCTTAAAAGTGAGCCTTGTGGGACGCCACAAGATAGTGAAAGACACATGGACCAAGTACAACAGTGATGCCAGTCCAGCATCAGTTCTGCAGTCAGTCAAGCAGAATCTCATAGTCAGCTGTATCAAGATGCTGTTCTTGTTGACTCTCAAAACATTTAAAACCTTCTCTCGTAAGCAAATGATGAGGTCTAATCTAATCTCGACTAAATGGCTGTGGTACAACGCATTCTGAAATGTCACCTAGATCACTGCATTGCTGGGATTTAATCTCTGGAAACCTTTTGGAGTTGGTAGATCTAGTTGATCTTGTGATTGGATATTAATGATCTATGATTGTTAAACAAGGTGTATAAAAATGTTAAAAATATATGTTTACTGTAAATGAGAACTGGCTTTGCCGCTAGGTGGTTGACCAGAGGACTGAACACCCACGTCTAAACAGCAGGAGCTGAAAAAATCACTTACATTTCTTGTTCCCGGAAAAGTACATATTGTCAACAAAACCCATTGGCTTGTTCCAATATAGTACATACAACTTGATAGAGATCACCGTAAATGCTAAACACACCCAGTTACTGAGAAACAGACAGACAATCAGCCTTGCTTGCAGCCCCTGCAAAGGCTCAGGAGTGTTATGCAAATGAACTAGAGACCATACAGGGCAGAAAAGTATGGTATCAAAGGAAGAAGGTGTGAGGAAGAGGACAGGAAAAGAACAGCACAGATGTGGACAGACATGCGCAGACTGCAGATTATGAGACGGTACAGAAACTGGGAGGCTCATTGAATACAAGTCAGAAATTGCAAACCTGAGAAAAGCTAAGGTTACATGCCTATTATTCAGTTCTCATTTTATCTCCAGTTTGCTTCTAATATCTACATCTCTGCTCTAATATCTGTCCCTGAGTAGTTACTTCCATCCAAAACTACCGCTCCTGTTTTTTCATGGCAGTTTTTGCATCATTAATTCATCCATTTCTCTGAAAGTTGCCAGGCCTGTCTTAAAATTACCATTCTCACCCCAGACTTGCTATCCTACCCCAAA